GGAATTAAAACCGGCGAGCGTCATGCGAAATTCCATAAATTCTTTATCATCTGAACGTCATATAGCCAACGTCTATACATCACCGATGCGTCGATGCGTTCTCTGTGCCGTGACGTGGAAGGAAATATAAATTTTGAGGTCGTAGAAGAGATATGCATAACAAATTTTAGGAAGCTCGAAAATTTCACGAAACATCTCTAACCGTTCTAATTGCGCTTTTCCTGTATCTTTCTTTCCTTTTCCACGACTTTTAATATCGTTTTCTAAAATTTTTATATTTAATTGATGGATGAACGATCTATGTATGTTTTTTAAATGTTAATTTATAAATAGATAGATATATACTTTTTTTTTTTATTACAATTAACTTAATTATAGTAATGACAATGTGACAAATTAACTTTGTGATTATATTGTTTCCGTTGTCGGACAAATATTTTGTCAAATTATTTTGAAGAACAAAAGTTAACACTGTCTCCGTTGAGTTTCTAGTGGCTCAACTGTTTTCAAGAGAAAAACTTGTTGACCTTGTTATTTTTCTCTTCATTTCATCTTCCCCTTATGTATATATATATATATATGAAAAGAATAAGGTTTCTATCTTCTAGATTAATATTGAAAATTATTTATATGATCCAGATAAATATAATTGAAGATTTACGTAGCACGTAATAAACTGTTTTACATAATATTAATTTAAACGAATTTAAAAATACATTTTATATCATTGTAATTTCATATTTACAATTATTGAAAAAATCTATTAATAAACATTGAAGCAATTTGAAATAAATATAAATTTAAAATGTTTTGTAATGTGTTTGATCGAACAATTTTTTTAATACTTAACTGCATAATCCATGAGAATATTGAAATTTCGAAGAAAACTTTTGCGATATTACTTTCTCGATATTTATATAACTTTAAAAACAATATCTTTTAAAAAGTTTCACCAAGGAGATTCTTTTTTAATTGTAATCATATCAAAAGTACAAGTAGGGGGGAAAAATATAATTGAAAAACTACTTAACTTCTAACCTTATAATAAATTTTTATAATAAATTCTTTTTGAAATAATTCATGCTGAAGAATGATATTCAAAAGATACAAATACACCATAATTAAATTTAAAAATAAAAGAGATTCATCTCAAAATAAAAAGCCTTCCATTATATCTCATCTTTATTTCTTCTAATTTTTTTAAATATTTCAATCACTTTTCAATCACTGTTCTACTATTATTATCATTGTAAAACAATTATTACAGGATTTCTTAATTTATCACAACACTAAAATGAACTTCTTAAACCATACTGAATATAAAAAACCTACTCAAGAAATATATCTTATTCCCTTATCATATATCATTAACAATAATTTTTAATCTATTTTCACGTAATATTAAGAAAAGTTCTTATACATTTTATGACCTATTCAACAAAAATAAAATAAAAAATCCTCTCGAGAAATGTAATTTTCTTCGCTATAACGATGAATAATAATTTTTGATCCATTCCAAAATAAAATTACCAAGGAAGGGAAAATTGCTTCTCGATAAAAATATACTCGATATACGGTCACTGAAAGTTTATGCATTATATGTACGACCCATATTTCGCGGAATTGGAAACAATAGGGAGGCGCTGGTGACAAGACGGTGTCGAGCAGATCAAGCTTTACGATTCGTTGCGAAATATTTCAGTGCAAAAGGGATTTCCACGATGCTCACGAGCATCGTACATTCTCGGCAAAAAAAATCTTCCATCCAGAAAATCTTCTATCGAGGCTTCCTGCGTATGTATGTGTATATTACGTATACATGAATGCACGCGACTCGAATAATCGAATCAGCGCGAGGGATGTTACAGAATTGGATGGATTTCTTATTCGAATGATTCGTGAAACGAGGAACAGATAAACTTGGATAGGATTAATAATAAATATTCAATTAAGAAAAAATAATCTCGAAAAATCTCGAATTAAATGGTATATTATTGTTTTGTAAAATTTTTTAATACAATTAAAAAAATATTGAGAAAAATTTAATAAAAATATTGATTATACAATATTATTTTCAAATTTGTCTCAATTAATAATTATTTTTTATTATATATTTGTAATGCAATGGAGTTATTAATACTTTAATATTAATACTTTTTTATTCTATTATTTACTGTATTTTTGTTTTATTTTCTTTTCATCGATTTCCATGTAATAAAATAAAATTTAATTTCGTATTTGTATTTATTCGTTTTTTACGTTAAATATTGCGAAATAGGGATAAAGTTTACATAGAATGTAAAAGTATCATGACGGATTAATTTTTGATGAAACTTTAATATCTGTAAATGAAATCTTATAAAAGTAATATCAGAATATAAAAATAATATCGAGAACAATAAATATACACGCAATATACCAAGTTTAACAATCGTATGATCTTCTATGATAACTTTTAATTAAAAAACATTTTTCTTATATATAGGTTGAAAGAGATTATGCAAAGGAGGTCAAGCTAAATCGATAAATAAATATTCTCCAGAGATCGATGTAACAGAAATTTTATAATAATACTTTACTTTTAATACAGACTTGATATGATCTCTATATATCTGCTATCATTATTATTTATTATATATATAGAGAGAGAAAATTATAAGAATTATTCAAAAGACTAAACTAATCATAAAAAAAAAACAAGGAATTTTTTTTTTACTAACTTGATCACTTCACAATTAAATACAACTTAAATTTTTAATAAATACAACTTAAAGAGATATTCCAGAAAATATAAATTCCGCTCTATTGTATATTGTTCTCCTATGTAGCTATGTTTTCTATACAACTATGTATCAAAATGACGTCGATTTTAGATGCAAAATAACAATAGAAATGACGTGAAAGCTTCATAAACGACTGAAGAGATAAAGAAAAACATGCCCTTGACGATACATTTTCTTTCTGCTCGAGAACTTAAATAGTAAATCTCAAAGTAAAACTTCAAAGTAAAAAACATAAGGGATAAGGATTGAATGGCGATCATAATTGCAGCAAACATACTGACCTATATCCTAGAAATGTAATAAATAGTAATAGTTAAAAAGATAGATAAAATAAGATAGATAAAAGCTTTTTAAATTCTTTCTTTTTCAATATAACCATAATTAATCGAATGACAAATATTTGTAGACATTTATGGAAAAAAATTATTAATAAATTTTTAATTAATAATACCATAAAGAAAAAAAATAGCTTTTTGATATTTACAATAAATTTTATGCATTGAATATGTATATCTATCTGCTAACTTTAAAAATGGATCATTGATAAAAGTCAATTATATATTTATAATATGAAGGAAAACATATTTTGATCTAATATTTTTGTAAAACGAAAGATATACGGGTCATCAGGAAAATAGATAAAGAATTCTAGCGTGTGAACATACAGTTAGAGCGTAAGTATGGAGGATGGAAAGTCATAAAGAAAAAAGGTCAAATGACCAAAGAATAAAAAATTGATTAAGCATAATAATTGTTGCATATGATCAAGTTATTACGATCTAAAATCTTCTTCATATATATATATTTTTGAATCATTAAACATAAGATAGAATAAAGAAATTGCGTTGGAATTTTTATCCGATATTCGTCGAAACTTTGAAAAGTAATCTGATCTTTTAAAATTTCATTGATTACCTGTATAATCGAATATAGACTGTATAATAAATAACTTCGAATTTTTAAAAGCCTAGAACGTGAAAATAATTTATGGTAAACAGGATGGATCCAAGTATATTATTAAAAGAAAAATATCAAAGAAAATTAATCACACTTTATGCAATCTCTTCTATGTCAGTAACACTATGTACTTTCGAGATAAAATGAATTTCAATAAAATTCAAAGAAACTCTCTTATTACGAGAGAAATTATCTTCAATAAGATATACTACTTTCGAATCATTTCATCTCTTTATTCTCGAACAGAGATATTTCCGCTAAAAAAAGCTAAGCCTCCTCTTTTTTATCTCCATTATATCGTTAATGGAGCTCAAGTGAACTACAAACTTCAAAGGAACGAATATTCGATGATAAACTTCTCGAATTTAACAAAGATCAACGATCTATACGAAATTAAAAAAGAAATGATGAAACTAAGAAGGAGAGGAGGATGGGAAAGGAAAAAAAAAAAAAAAAATGTAAAACTATGCTGATAAAGATGTTTAAAAGTTTTATCTGATTGAGAATTGGTCATGGCAAAGCGCGATAATACTTTCGATAATAGAATATCGATTTCCAATTAATCTGAAAAGGACGAACCATTGAATTTTAAACCGGGCGCACTTCAACGCCTATTATAATACGTATACACGATGTATATGGGTTGCAACCTAGTTATGAGACCAGAAATTCTCAATGGAATGGAAACTCTTAGTAGAAAATCTAGAGGAAACTTTAATGTCAGAGTTTTCAAACACCACATCGAACAACTTTTCGCCGTGAAATTTAAAATTTTCTAAGCTCGAGAAATTTATCTTTCCAAAACATTGTTTTATATTAAAATAATATTATTACTCGACACGAATTAATTAATTTTATGTACATATTAATGTAAGAATAAATTAACACCAGAATTATCAAATCAGTTGATAGAAATAATTCACACATTTTTTTTGTTTTATGATTATTGAAAAGATGAAAATGTTATTGGCAAAATTATTATTGATGTTGATTATATCATTTAGATATATATATTTATCAATCAAAATGATAATTCTGTGTTTAAATATTATTGAATATGTAAAATGTATGTATGTAATACAGATATTGATTGATTAGATTAATTAGATTTAGATTATTCCATCTTTTTTGTACCACATTTTTTTACTCATTGACAAGTTGTAAAATTATATCATAATATGTATAGCATACATTATATTTTACATTTTTTATATTCATTGATAAATTCCATATTTTATAATGATAAAATAACAAACTCACCTTCTCCTCCATCTTAGAGACAACATCCTCGACGGCATTCTCCGCCGATTTTGCGATGGCTGCAGCTGCTTGCTCCTTTCTCGACATATGGCCGCGGAAAGATGCCTGGATTTTCGTCGCCGCTTCGCAAAGCTCTGTAAAAGAGAGAAAGAAAGAAAATTATTGTTAAATTCGATGTCGATAAACGAATTTCAGATACGTACGTTGTGTCGAATCTCATCAAATTGAAAAAAAAAAAAAAGATTTCGAGTTTTGTGACAGTGACAATCTTTCAAAAGGATATCTTTCAAAAGAGAAATCCTGTGGCGAGAAAATGCTATTTTTAGCATTCATGAAATTTAAGAATTTATCTCGATGTACATTCGAATCGAATGAACACGATAGAATGAAATAAAACGCGGGATTTAAATAAGGATTTATGCCATTGATTAATTTCTCTTTTTATTAAATAATTTTCTTTGCGATGTATTGTTCTTTTAAAGATATTAAATCGATGATTTAATATTATAAATGTTTCATAAATGTTTAAACAATTAATGTTATCTTTTATTTTTGCAACGTATAATTCACAATATTTTTAATCTTCCAATAAACGAACCAATAAATTTATATTTCAATCGCATTTTACGAGTCAATACGAGATCTTCTATAAATTTGTTCCATTCGATAAATTTATCGTTTTGTATTTTCATTCGTTTTTCTTACTTATCTCTATTATTTTTCTATTTATTCGTTTACGAATATTTAGATATATTTCGAACGATTTCACGACAAGAAAGTGAAAAATAGTTTTTACGCGTACACAATGGCAACAATTTCAACATGAGCTTCAACGATCGAAATCAAGTTAACCACTGTTCATTTCGTTAAACCGTGTCAACCACTTCGAAAAAACAATGGCTGACCCAGTTCTGAATCAATTCCAAATTCGGTGTATTGTGCGAATTTACCTGACTTGCGGTTGATCCATTCGCAAAACACAGTTGTCCCGAATTTGATCCGGAGCAAATCTATTAATTATATGAAATTAATATAACATATCTCACAGTGGTGATAATATATTACTAAATATATTTATTTAAATCAATTTTAAATCAATGTAACTCATCATTATATAACACCAAAGATAGATATTTTATTAAAATTAAATTTAACTCTTACAATTTTCAAATGAAATATACACATAATAAGATTTTTTAACGTATAAACTATTTTTTTCTTCTCATCGTATTCCAATTAAGTGAAAAAATTAAAAATAAATATATCACAACGAAGATTTACTTTTTGAAATATTTTGTTCCTTTGCAAGTTAATAAATTTTAAAATACACGTTTACACGTAAAAATTCGCAAAAATTATTACACGTGTAAAATATATATATATTCATCGCATAAAATATAAGAATACATCTTTATTTATATTGTAAAGTTAGTCAATCTTTATCGACTAATCTCCGTCAGTCAATGTCTGAGAGTTAACTTCGTGTTAGCTATCCTTCGTCAGTCAACTTTTCTGAGTTTGCTCGATGTCAACCTCTTTATTAATTTCTTGCGAATTTGCTCTCTGTCAACTAGCATAGCCTGTCAGCCAACTTTTTCTTCTCGTAGAATTAAACGTTATAATAATTTCTCTTCTTAGATTTTTCATTAATAGAATGTGTTCGAAAGAAATTAACGATTAAAATTAACATTGCAAACAAACGATTAATCGAATTATAATCGAGTAGAAAATTTCATCCATCCGATCATTCCCAAATATCAAATCTCACCCTCTTGTCTTATCATCCTCCACGTTCAATTTTCTCAGAATCCATAAAATTCCGATCATCTTCCATCGCGAAAGATTTTAGATTTGGAATTGAAAATCAGAACACAATATAAACCCATAAACCGTTCTATTGTCGTGTGTCAAATAAATCAATCACCTCTAAACCCATCGGCCATCTTCTTTCTCTTATAATCCATTGTACTATAATCCATCTATAGCTTAATCTATTAAAGCCAAAGTTAAAAATTAAACTTTGATACAAGTCTATTATTAATCTTTGTTTTGATAAGTTTTTAACGTGGCTCGATATTGCAAGACATTAATTTTTTTGCATTAACATGGAATTTTTTAATCATATATCATTTCATTATAAATTCTGTTATTAATTGGTAAATTTTTATGGAAATCAAGGGGTATGCTCGCGTCTCTTCCAAATGCAAATGGTTAAACTAGAATCTAAGTGGTTTAACTCGTTGATTTATTATGGACACATTGATCCTCGAGATTAGGACGCCAAATAGTAATCACGTATGGAACACTTGGATCACGATGAAATAGAACGCAACACGTAATTGGCTAATTTTCGGCTGATAATGTACGATCATTATTCGATTGGCAAATTGTAGACCAAGCAGGATTCATGGCAAGGAATTTCTCGATAAACTCTGTTATCGAATCGGCCTCATTCCATATCACGTGTTACAAGTAAATGTTAATTGTGAATAGTGTTTTGTTCAATAGACTGATCCAATTCGATTTCCTTTTAATTAATCGAACTCGTGAATTGTGCTATGAATATAGAAAAGAAATTATATCAATTGAATATATTTTGTATTAATTATTTGAAAATATTTTATACCACTATACTATGTTATTTATTTGTATCGTATCATCTCGATTTATAAATATTAAAAATGTATTTTCGAAGATTAAATACAAAAATATTAAATTCCTAGGAATGCATAAAAATAATGCAAATTAATTCTTTCGTTGCACGATACGAGATAATTTATATTTTCATCGTTATATTTTTAATTTATATTGCATGTGTACACACATTCAAATTCTTTTATGGATTACTTGGAAACAATTCCTCTTCCTTGAAAATAGAATCTTTCTAACAATAAGTGGTATAGCCACCTGCTACGGATAGATGAATCGAACAAATGGCCACCAAGCAATACGTGAAAGGGGGCAACGTAATGTCACTGTACGAGTATTGAATGTCTGTGAAAAAAATTGTCTCGCGTATAGATTTGTTTTATTTTATCGTTATATAATCATATTTTTATATGATTTTCGTTTTCGAATTTCAATTTGCGGAATTAAAAATAATCGTTTTTAATTAAACACAATCGAAATCGAAGCGATCGTTTTTAATGCGAAAATAAATTTCCTGTGTAATTTCCCTACGGAAAGAGTGGTAAATATGTAAATTTTCAGGAAGCGACATAGATGAATGGTATTACATCGTCGATGAAAAGTCCGGTTTCACCGGTTTTACCAAATTAATTCACGGCGAATCGACGATATACAAGGTTTAAAATCAATTTTTAGAAGAAAAAAATGTAAATTTTGATACGGTGCATCGATAATATAATATAAATCGTCCAACGATAAACCGTTATAAATCACTCTTTTAATAACAATATTCGTTCAAACAATTAAGCCGTACAAAACGGAGATATTGGCTACACAATTGTTCAATTTCTCAAAATATAAATTCTGCCATTTTTCCCTATTAATTAATTAATTATTTAAAAAATTTAGAATAACGTTTAGACAAACGAAATAAGAAAAATACTGGAGATATTTACTAAAACATTTTTACTTTGATGACAGAATATTTCACACTAAGCTAGTAGAAACAAATCAATTGATAGATTTGTGTAAATTATTTACACAATTTAACGATTCGTTCTAAAGTTATATATCAAGTTCCTGAATAAAATTAATGAATAAATATATATTTCGTCACTTCGGGGTAAAAGGGTATTGAAATCGTAGAAGGAAGTTATCTAAGATTAAATTAATCAAGTTGGGTGTGACAGTATAAATTTTCTGTGGGACCTGAGACAACTGGCCGAGCCACGGATAATTAATCGTCCCGAGATAAAGTAACGAGGGACAATCGATTTTGCAACCCGTCAGCGTCAAACTTTTCCGAAATTATTCGCTTTATCTGTATCTGGAATCGCGGTACATCCTTGACATTAAACGTTTCCATCAAGGATATCTATTGGCAGTGAACTATTTGTGTGTATCACAATGATAAATCTTCCTCGAAAGAAATTTAAAATCTATCGAGGCAAAATCGATAAGAAAACAAAAAATTACATTCATGATCTTACTTTAGATGAAATACTATATTTTATTCTTATATTTTCCATATACGGATTTCTATTTGGATTATTTAATTTAATCCTAAATTTTTTTTTAATCTTTTTAATTTTCCTTTGTCCAAATTTTTGCATAAGAATAATTAAACCATCTTGGATTAAATTCCAAACTTCCAAGCTATTCTCCATTTTAAAATGTTCTCATATTCATGATAATACATATTCCAGTTACATTTGTAGAATACCGTATGCTTTTCTACTACTATTTCTATTTTACTTTACTTACTTTGAAGTTATATTTCTATTCTACTTCACATTTCTTGACATAAAGTTTCAAAGTATCGTATATGCTTTATATCTTCTATATTACGAACTACATTAATCTCAGCAATATGCCACAATTTGAATAATATCCTTCCTATTTTCAATCTTTAATTTTCATTTCTCACACATAAAGAAAATATCACACAGTTCGCCTCTTAACTGATTAAAATACTATGCTTTAAACGATCAAACTATATTTCCAAGCGCAAAAGGGTTAATTGATAAATTAATTGATAAATTACCGCAAAACATACTTTGAACAATTTCTGCAATTACAGAAGCGTTACATTCTACTTCCTGCCATCATCCATGTCGGATATAAAAATTGCCCGGGAATATCTCGGCGAGCCACGCCTAAAAATCCGGGTCACGAAGAGGCGGTTCTTGGAAATCGTAAGCAATTTCTGCGGAATTTCCACGATCTCGAGTCAAAATTCTGGGAAGGTAACAACCGCCACGAAAGGAATCCACGTGGCCCCCGGGGAATTGCTCGGCGAGAAAACTGTCACGCGAGGACCGAGTTTATGACGAGTCTCGTTTGCGGTTTGCGTTTAGGGAACATTGTCTTCTTCATCCACTCTGCGAAGCGGAGGATCTGATCTTCTTGTGTGCCAGGGTATCAGGGCATCGAGGACGCGATGATATCGTTTGGGAAAAAGGGAACGATGATTCTAGATTCTTGTCTTTAAATGCGATTTTGCCACGGAAGTATTGTATTTTAATTCTTAATTGTTAAAACGAAAATTACTATTGGGATATATTATCGATATTGATTGGAGGATTATTGATTGTTTTGGAAATATATATTTTTGTGAATGGACAGTTGTGTATAGAAATAAGTTGAATGAGATGATCGTGATCGAGATTGGGAGAATGAGACAATAGTGGTTAGACAAGTTATGTAGATCAATTGTCAGGCAAGGATAGGATAAGACATTCATTCATTTGTCAAAGAAATGGATTAATTGTAGGTAATAATTATCTAACTATAGTGTTCATCATTGAAATGATGCAGGAGAATTTTATTTCAAGAGCAAGAATAATAATTTCTAATAATGGATTAATAATGGAAGATGGAGGAAATGTAATTACTTGTAATTTTATTTTACTATTCAAAACAGGATATATGGTCCACACAAAATTCTATCACTGGCTTGGGATTGGAATTATGTTATCATTATGGTTTGCTAATAAAAATGTCAACTGATGAATTGATTGCATGAGAATAGAAATGTAAACGTGCTTATGAGCATACATATGTATATAGATATATATTTAATATCTGTTTATTATAATAAATATTGTGAACGATGATTAAAAGTTAAATTTTAGGAATAAAATGAATTAAATTGGCATGCCTATTCATGTTCAGAATTACGTGAAATGTTGGATATTAATACTGTAACATCGTTGGAATTTAGACGAAATTTTTATAATTACATTAAAATCAATTTCCAATTTTAAATATATTTCGAAACGTTATAATTTAACATGTTCATTGTATCAATTTCGGATTTTATTAAAAAACGAGAGCACGTGTTGTGAAACAGATGAGAGATATAAAAAAAAAATTCTGGAAGAAAGTTTCATAGTCAATCAAACTTGCAATATTAGAAATATTAATACTGAATGAAAATTATAATATACCTGTTATAATGTACGAATATATCGCCATTTTGAATTTATCCGCTTTAATCTATCCTGTATTGGATATTGTTTGGGATATAACGAATTAATTATTACGAGGTAAATAGCGAGGCTGCATTGTGAAAATCTCTTATAAAAATACTCTCCATCATATAATATGCCAAGCATTAATAAATTCGAGATAAATTTTTAATATTACTGCAATTCATTTTATATCGTGTAAAAATATTTTAACCTCGACTTCGTTAAATTTACCGAAGAAGAAGAAGAAAAACAAAAAATTAAATCACTTACTTTTTTTCGAAATCATATCACTATAGCAACAACGAAAAAATTATAAAACTAATTAATTCACCCTCATACGATGAATATAAAAGACTTATTTGAGAGAGAGAGAGAAAAAAAAAAAGAAAAGAACATACGTCAACAATAGCAAACAGAGAGAAAACATTGGTCAATATTTAAGAATTTGAATTTTCGACGCGATTCTCACAAACTGATACATCTGATACAAGATTCAACAGAGCGTAAACTAGCGAGGATGCTTTAAAATTCAACAATCGCCCCTGTCGCCACCGTACAATTTAATGCGGCAAAGGATCGCGCCAAAATAGTGCAACGTTTCCTGGCACATGGTTACGTAAGAGGCACATAGGCACCATAGAGTTATACACATGGACAGGAGGAGTGGAGAGGAGTCGTAAATTCTTTGGCCCGCGACGAAGGAGCGAAGGACGTCTCTCGAAGAGGGACGATCTCGAGACGAGATTGGCAGGAAAAGGAGAAATTCTGTAAAATTAAAGGGTTCCCCTTTGGGAACGATTTCGAGGGTTGGTACGTGACACTCACCCTTATCGTCGGCGCGGAACTCCTGCTGAAGTTGTTCTTTGGTTGGCTCTGAGTTTGATTTGGTCCCCGTCTGCTTCGTCGAGGATTCAATATCTTTCATACTCTTTCTGGCGTGGTGGCCGCGGAATGCCGCTTGTATCCTGGTCGCGGCTTTCTCCCTCTCCTTCTCCGTGTCCTCTTCTTTCTTCTCTCCCTCCTTTCTCTCCTTCGAATCCGCCGATTGTCTTTTCTGCGACGATTCTTGCGAATCTACTTTCGCCGGACTGCTCTCTCCTTTCGTGATATCTGAAAATTTATCGATTGTTAGTGTTAAAATTAATGGACAAAGTTTATCGTTTTGCATATAATAATTTTGAATACGTTTAGTAAAGGAACGAGATGTTATTATTAAATTTTCTGAAAATAAAATATATTTATTGTATAATTGTACATTATCTTTCTAATCGAATTTACGGATCTCCTGATCAAGATATCGATTATTAATTAAGAAACATAAAATTTCTTGAACTTTGTACAAATATTATTATTCGTATTACTCGGTGTGCATGTTCGTTCAAGTGTGTACTATCGTTCGCCAAGAGATTTAATCATAGACATCGAAATGCACGTACGCGTATATTATTCTGTTTGAGGCTGAGTTTCGCATGGTTGTCTTGATTAAACTTTACCTTTCATTTTCCTTTGAGAATTGGTGCTACCTAGAAATACCGGTAGAATTCTAAATTTCTCTATACAACATCGTGCAAGAAATTTACGAGAGTTTTAATTATTGAAAAATGTGTACAGATATATATATATATATATATATATATGTACGAGATATATATGTATGTACTTTGAATTCTTTGAATATTTAAGCATTAGAAATAATAATTGATAGAAGAAAAAATTTACAATCAATCTTATCAAGATTTATACAAATTTACATTATTCTAATCATTTAGAAGGATCATTAAAATAAAAGAAAAAAGAAATTATAAATAATTATGATATAGAAATGTAATATTAAAAGCAATAATAATCTCGAGGATAGTAATTGTTTTATATTTTAGAAAATTTTTTTCTTAAAAAGTTTTTTTCTTTAATAAAAAAATGAAATAATAACCGGGATATGACAAAAGCAAAATTTCATTTGCGACCGAAAGGGACGCAAAAGGGAAGTAAATTATTATTTTTCTTTTATTTTTATTAAAATCTAGGTCATCCTCGTATACTCTAATCAAACCAAAAATGGAAAAAGAAAATGTAGAAACTCTAACACAATTCCGTCTTTCCTAACACGACGCAGCTAATTCGTCTACCAGGCGTGTGTAGGCGTATCTTTATGACTCGTGCTCGCAATAACTTCTGAATCTTTGCTTAAATAGAGAAGAGTATCTTAAGAAGATATCATAAACGTGACAAGAAAGAAAGAAAGAAAAAAGAGAGGAGAAAAAAAAAAGAAAGAAAGGGAAATAAAGAGAATATACTCCTGGTATCACAGTGATAACAAAGAAGACAATGAATCATTGTCTGTATCGTTAGTGACACTTTGCATGCATGTGCATGTTTCCAGTTACGCGAGTATAATTACTGGTTTAGTCGTCGTTTCGTGCAGGCCCTATTTTCAAGGTGCATCGCCTTTTTTTCGCCGGTTCATGCCTCAAGGAATCTCTTTCGACCTCTCTCCCCCCAAAAAAAAGAAGAAGAAGAAGAAGATAGTGTCTGATAAACCTGATGAAAAGAAGGAACAAAAGTGTACCACGTACGAATTAAAAATTTAAAAAAAGGGAGAAAAAATTTATGAAAGCAAATCGCGATGCTTCTGACCTGATTTCGAGACAATTTTTTTCGAGCACAGAAACTGGAAACTCTTGGAGAGATATTTTAAAGGGACGGAATAGTTTGAAATATTTAATCAAATTATTACCACAGCCAACTCGCAAAGTTTTTTATTTATTCATGTATTGAGTATATAATTTCACCTGAGAATTCTTACTTATGAAATGAAAGAACGCTAAAGTCCGCGGATCAATTATACGTTCAAAAAGTTTTATCTCGGATTAAGAAAGAAAAAAAAAAAAAAGCATTGAAATTTTTAAGAAGTTAATTTCACTGAAAAATGATATTCCAAAAGTAACTCGTTATATTCTACATTGAAAATTTAATTGAAAACAAAATTATTCGAATTCTCTCGTTATCGTGACAAGTGTGCACAAGTGGTGCGAAAAATTTGCAATATCGACCAAGATTTTCTTTATTCCTCCCTTTTTTTATCACTAAAAACACGAGGGAGATTTACGACCCACTAAATGCAAATGTAAAAACGTCGAAACGTTTGGGGATGGAAAAATGATGGTGGTTATGAACGGTGAAAATTTCCTCGAAAAATTGAACGATATACAATTTTTCATTTTGCTTAACAAGGATGGAAATCTCTTAATCGATGATTTCACGATAAATTCAAAACGAGATTGAATTATTTCTGAGGATGAAACAAATAAATTTATTTCGTATCGAATAATAATATTGTATTTATCATTAACGTATTTGATTTAACAAATTGTTCAAATTGGAGTGGGTTAATTTTATTTATGTATTTACGAATATATTGTATTATTGTACTATGGGAAATTACAATTATAAATAATAAAAAGACGTGAAAATTAATAAATTTAATATACATTTAATGTCTTTATTAAATTAAATTCAATTGAAATAAAGATCTTTGGTCACGATATGGTAGTTGTGAAACAACTTCTGGATCAAGAGAATAACGAAGGTTGTTAATTACCTTTTTCAAGTCTCACCTTCACCTTCGAAGTGTAATTCACAGTTTTTGCAAGGTCAACACGCGATAATCAAGGTGCATAAGATATACAATTTCGAAACTCTGCCTTCGACGATTAAGAGAAGCGAACTGATGATCGTTACGAATGGAAAGTGGAGATTCATAGCGCCATGTTGTAATGGGGAAAATTAGTCAAACGAAACGGGGGATGACTGTGAGAAATAAGGTTTTATCGGGGAGCTAATTGACCTCGTGTTTCAATTTCTACTATCGTGCGCATTTGTAACCAACTTTAACGATCGATTTCGTATTCCATTTCATTTTTGCGTGCTTTCCAGTTTAGCAATGAATATGATGAAATATGAATGTGAAGAAATTTAAAATTTACAAATTAATTATTTAAACCGAACGTTAACAACACAAATTTAAAAAGTTCAATTATATAAAATATACTCGTAACAATGTATACATGGCAATTAATTAACTTTGCTATTACATCATTTAAATTAATATCTTCAATAAACATTAAGGTTGAAGAATAGTAATGGAGTTATAACCCGACCGATAGAAAATGAAACCTAATTTTATATTATTCCAACTCACCTTGTGCAAGTTGTTTTAACATGTACATTTACACATGTGCTTCAAAGCTAACACATTAGCGAACCCAGAATATAAAAGCAAACAAAAGCAACCTTTACTTAAAACGTTAATTTCTCTCAGAATATTTTTACCCTTCACCTATATTCTCAAACGATGACGATGATAGTAAATTTCATTCACTAAATCATCCCTTCCACGAAATTGTACACCACTAAGGAAAAGCCGAGAGGATAAATCCCTAGAGTGACGACTGCACGTTTTCAGAAATGAAATATTCACTGTAAAATTTATTTTTCGATTCAATATTACGCTTTTCCACGTGTCATTCTGAACGAAACGAGGAGATCGTCATCGAAGACGAATATTTCGACGAAAAAAAAAAAAAAAAGAAAAAAAAAGAAAAAGCGAAGAGCAATCATTGAATGGCAACGCATCCATCGTTACCGTTTCGATCGTGAACCTTTTTTCTTTTTTTCCCTTTCATTCTCGCATCCCAGTGCCCGCGAGTCACACAATTCTTCTTGCCTCCAGTTGTTCCTGAGGCACGAGTCGAATGGTTGGGAAACCGGGAATCCCGTAACTTTTAATGAAGATAAACGCAGTCTAGTTTACTGGAATTTCCCGAAAGATAAAGTAAAACGCGTGCATAAGTGTGTGTGTGTGTGTGTGTGTACGCGTACACTTCATTCCACGAATGGAAGGACCAACGATTTCCGATAAAATACTCGGTAATCGCAACGATTCTCCGATATTAATGCTACGTAAAATGGTAACGTTGCCACGAATCATAAATGGATAAAGATATTTTCTAATTTTTAATCTGGTGATTGTAGATACGTATCCAATGATTATATGGAAAAATTATGGATTATGAATTATGGATTTTAATTGTGAAAAATTATTTGTTTTCCGATGTAAGAGCAAGGAAATAATATTTGAGAATGTTTTTCTTTAATTTATTTCTTAAAATAATTTTTATATGTAACATTAGAAATATTATTTGCTGGGAATAAAAATTATATTATTTGTGGAAGATAGAATGAAATAGTAATTTTCAAGTAGCTTAAATATTATTATATTAGAAGGTAATTTTTATTCGTTACTGTAACCCATTCGTAAATGTTTCTGAATTAAAATGTAAAATATAAATAGGAATGAAATATTACTTGGAATATTCAACGACTGTATTAATAGATTAACACTTTACAGGTCTTTGGATGGATAAGTATGGAAAGCAGCCACAAAAAGAACAGTTAAAAGAACAGTTCGGCGCCGATGAATTATTCCTATCAAAAATTCATAAGCGATAAATTGGATATTGAATTGATCCGCGAATCTATTAACTGTGCTCGATTCTCAATTGCTTTTCAATGAAAAAGCCTATAATACAAAAGTAATAATACAATATAAATATCCTTTAAAGAAGTAATTGAAAACTTTTTTACTCGAGCACTTCCCCCCCTATCTTCGAGAATAATAATTTCTTTTTTATTAAAAAATCTTCTATTCCAATTTTTCCCCTATATGAATAATTAAAAATATTCAAAGTAAACTCGTTTATTTTCAAAATAAAAATATTCGTCGTAATCGAGGAAATTTATTCAAAGCTCTAATAATACGAATAATAATAATTCTACGACAAGTGTAATAATAAATTTACGAACATCTAACTGGATGCACCGTATAATTTATAGATTCACCGGAATCCCAGGAATACTTATTTACAATTTCATCATAGACATAACAACCGACCGTATCTCCCTTTATTTGCAAGTCTTAAGATTCTTAAGAAAATTTTCCTCACGGAATGCATGGAGGGCCCGCCCGACTGAAAACGTCGACGCCGAATTTTACTTTCAGATGCCTCATGCTAATACGTTTAGGTAAATTGCTCGCCAGATTACAAGGAAGC